AGAGTGGACCACCCTTTGACTAATTATTCCAGCAAGAGAGATGATGAAGCTCAAATTTATGATCTTTCGTATGTTATCGCCGAATAGTCTTTCCGTCGAGAAATTCTCAGTCCACGAAGTCGAATTTCAAGACTTCAATGTCAGCTTACGGATTCTATTTTGAGAAAGCTGACGTGTTTCACACTCAAAATTGTTCTTTCTTTTTTGGTTGTGTGTGTTTTTTTGACATTGTGCACTTTTCAGCGAGAAGATAATGTAGTTAACAGCAATGTCTCTATCATGCTTTATTTTTCTTATTGTTTACTAACTCGTATGCTGGATAATATGGAGTCACTATTAGGACTGCGGCTGATTTTTATAGTTAGAATCATTTTAATCACTGTATGTTTAGATTCCAATCCGTTATCCACACAAATTTGTAATACACATAGTTACTTAGAAAATATATCTAGTAAGTTAATTTTAATCACGTATGTTTAGACTCTTTATTTTATGAAAATTTTGCTTTCTTGAAGTCAAGGGTTTAAATCTCATTCTCTATCTCATAAAAAAAAATATATATGTATATATATATATATTTTAAGCTCAATGATTAACTTTCTTTCTTTTTAATATACTACTTTTAGGATAAGTTGCTCATCAATTATTGTGCATATATCATCGCATAATAATAACAAAGTAGTCTTGACGTTTGAGTGAGAGAGACATTGCTTTGTTGCATTTTCGAAGTACTTTATCTTACTCTTAGGGCTGAAGTAACTCAATCTGCTTTTTCTTTTTCTTTTTCTTTTCCTTTTCCTCTAGTTTCATGCCTAATAGGATAATTTCAGATTGGATTAGGCTTAGATTAGATTGGGTTGAATTAGGTCATGGGATTAGACTATGAGAAATTTATCTCTCGTGAATATTTTAGTATTAATGTGGATGACCTGTCTTTGACCGAATTAAAAAAGAGATTAGTCGAGGTGTCCATAAATTGATCTGGACACTCCTGACTATTGAACTTAAAAAAAAGAATTAGCTCTTGTTGCATAAGTCCTTACATAGGCTGTCAATTTTCGACACGAGAACCAAACACGAAATTAATGGGTTGAACACGAAATTAAACGAGTCAATGAGTTAAATCAAATCAAAAGTTTAAACAAGAAAAAAAATCATTTCGAATTCATGTCAAAATTAGGTTAACTTAATTTTGACCTGTTTAACCGGTATATTTTAAACGGATTGACATAATTCAAATACAAACCTAACCTAACCCATTGTGGACCCGTTTAACCCGTTTATGTCAGTATAATTTACCTATTATGTATGACTGATGTGGTCTCAAAATTATTAATTATTAGTTTTTATTTTTACTATGATAATTAACAGTATAGTTCTTAATATTATTATGACAGTATACTTTTAATTTTTGAGTTGAAACTTAATGCATTTTAGTTAATTTCATTGATAAGATGTGATATGTTACTTTTGAAAAAATTATTTGAAATTTTAGATGAATGATTGAATGATGTATTTAATGGTAATGAACATGTGTGAAAACAAGTTATGTGTGTTAAATATGTATGTATTATGTGTGTTAAATAGGTTAAACAAGTTATGTTATGTGTGTGGACCCGAAAAAGACTTGTTTATTAAACGTGTCAAACAGCTAGGTCAGGTTAGTGTTTATACATCTCGACACAATTATTAAACAGGTCAAGTTTAGGTTTTGAGATTTTCGACACAAATTCAAAATCAATCCGACATAAAATAATCCAACCAACATGTTTGAAGCCCTACCCTTACACAATGAAAATGGCTAACCTGGGTATTAAAAAACAATGATAAATCAATTTACCAGAAAAAAAACATTGTTCATATAAGAAATTGATAGGGTGGACACACAACATACATTTGTGATATTCTTAAGTGTAAAACCTAGATGAGGGTGAGTCAAGGCTCACCCTGGCCCATCCTTGCATCTGCTAATAATCGTGCCTCTATTTTTCAACCAATAAAACTATATCATATTCTTTATCATTTTTTGTAATTAATTATTATAGATTATTTAATTCAAAATTAATGACTTAGTTTAATTCCACTATGATGCCATAGCCTTACCCTGAAATTAGAACCAAAGTAGTAGGTAGAATGAGCTTATGGTAGATCATTCATCATTAATGATTGAGGACCCACTTATATACGATAAATTTCATTTGAATGTATGGTAGATGATCAATTCGTAAGAGAATTAAAAAAAAAATTGTATCGGATAAGATTTCACTTCCATAGAATGATTAGATGAATATATAAAAAAATTGAATATTTTCTTACTAAAAAGAAGAAAAAAGGAATATGACTATAGTATCGTTGTTGGTATCATACCGATATTGATAACAACCATAGATTTTAGTTTGAATGATTTTTAATCATTGATCAAAAAAATAAAAAAATTATACACCCACAATTTTATTTGATGAAAAGTAAAAATACTAGAAAGTATGAAAATTTATTTTTCAATATCATAATCGAACCTTGAAAAAAAAGAAATGAAATTCATATTGCAAACCTAGATATTATCCGAAGACATTGAAGTGGATGTGGCATTCAAAATGAATCAAGACAATGATAACATTATGCATGCTGATCTTCATTAGATAAGAAAGAGAGAAAAACAAAGGTGATGAAGCAATTGACCAAAGTAAGTACAAATTAGATGATGAAACCGATCCGCGCCATATCTTAAAACGGTGGGATTGCATAATTAATAGGGGCCATGTGAGGAATCAGGTTGCAGTGGAGTTGGTTTCATTCCCAACAAAGAAAGAAAAGAGTAATGCTATCTGCATTAGAGTCCACTACCGTACCAAACAAAAATTTTCAGTCTATTGTCAAATTTTACAACTTTTGTGGATTGTTATATAAATTTTTAGGTTTGTTTACGATAATTTTGAGATCATATTACAATTTTGTGTTTATAGTATTTTTGGTCCCTAAAATATATATTTTTTATTAGTTTAGTCATCAATGTATCAATTTTATCCTCAAAATATTCCATACATATTATTTTAGTCCTTACATAGATAAACCATCAAGTTTTTTGACGAAATAATCACGTGTTATACCGTCTAAAAAAATGACATGTGGTCACTTTCGTCAAAAAACTTGACGGTCCGTCTACATAAAGACGAAAATAACACGAATTGAATAGTTTAGTGACCAAATTAATAAAATTGATGCAAAGAGGATTAAACTGACAAAAAATTCATACTTTTAAGTGATATTAATCCTCCAATTTTTATGGATAAAGTTATAACTTTTGTAGGTTATTTACAATTTTGGTGAGTCATTTAGGATCAATCCTAAAAATTTTAGAATCGATCACAAGTAACCTCAAAAGTTATAAATAACCCCAAAACTTATAATGATAGTATGAAATCAAATTTTTTTTTTTCTGGGTACCATAGACTTTTCTTGTGTAGTAAATTTTCGCACCGAATGAAATGGATTGTTAGATTTGTAGAATCCACAGACTCTTATTATATATTCAATGAATGTGAGAACTTTGTCGAAATTTCAGCTCAAGTAAAAAATAGCATTCTGGGTCATCTGGAATAATTCAAAACTTTAAATACAAAGAATACTCAAAACAAAATTTGGGGGGATGATTTTGTAATTTAGGTTAACCTTCATTTTTAAACACTTCATCTGTCCGGCACACACAAGTTTTGTTAGTTTGATTGGGTGATCAAATAGGGAAGTGTTGTTAGGAATTAAAAAACTATCTAATGCAATCATTTGTGACGAAGTATCTTTGCATGACATGACCCCAAGGGTATTTTTGTCATTCACTAGATCTTAGGTGTTCTGTTATTTTTTTTTTTGGCCAAGTAAATAAAAATTGTGAGGGGCGTGACCATAACAACCCGAAACTGTTGAAGTAGGCCTCCAGAAAGGACTAGACGGTGGGTTATTTTCAATAATGAATTAATTATATACATGGGAACATCGTTACTTTTCCATTCTCTTAAAACAAAATTCATTTTAATCATAAAAAATTAAGATTATCTCATATAATTTTAATTTTTAAACATTAACATGAAGGAAAAAAGATAAAAAAAAAAAAAAAAACTAATCCAAGCTCCTGACTATGTCGTTAGGAAAAGAAGAAAAAACTAAGTAGATGCTAATTTACTTTCCTTTTAAAGAGATTGATTTACAAATTCAAATTAACTGATTTGACTGATAAACATCTATCATCTTTGTGATCATGATTAATTGAAGTAAGCAAGTCATACTATATATTTTTCAATTCTTTTTTATTTGTTATTATTGAAGTTTAGTCTTGCATATATCATAGCACCTTTGCCAGGACAGGGACAACAACATTAATAATCTCATTATGCTACCTCTAATTGTACAACATAATTTATTCATTTGCTTGGCATGGGAAGCACTATCATTGTACAAATTAGTGGGACCACCTTGATTAATAACACATGTCCCACACCTCTTTTTGGCCTCTTTAGCAGTTGTGCCCCTACTGGTTGTGGATAGACAATTTTGTCCTCAGGGGACACTCTCTCTCTCCCTCTCTCCTCTCTCTCTCTCTCTCTCTCTCTGCATAGTTGTCAAATATGGGTTTAAAGAGGTTTAATCCCCAACCCAAGATCCAAACCCCTTCTCAAAAAAAAAAAAAAAAATCCACATACCAAACATATTTTTAATGTTTATACCGTTATTTAATATTTTATTTAAATAAAATATTAGATGAAATAAATGTAAGATCTATTAATTCTTAATACTTGACCTAAATATGAGATGAAGATATATTGTTACTAGAATTAGTCCGATGGCTGAATGGATGAAATATTATTTAATTCGGTCATTTCCAATGCTTAAATTAAACATATCATAAGAGAATTAAATACGTGAGATCGGAGAATTAAACCCATTTTATTTAGGACGGTGTTGGGCTATAATTTAATGAGTGCTTTTCCTGTCAACCGTTTCTTTCCCTTTACCTCGCTCTTAAGGCTCTATCCTCTCCTTCGTTTCCATCTCTCTCTGTCTCTCTCGGGTCCTCGAATCTTTCTTTTCGATGCTTCGTCCCCTAAAAAGCCCATGTTGAGGACCCATCTAGTCATGGATTCTGTGCTAGTGGCACAATTTCAACTCCCACTTCTCCTTGGTATCTGTATTCCTCCCTCTCTCTCTCTTTCACCTCACATACACATACATGTCCAAGTAGTTTATTTATATGGATTTATGTATCTTTACATACATGGAATTTTGTGCGTGTCCTGAATATTTTTATATTGCAGGTTCAGAAAAGTGCGGGTGCTGAATGTAATGTGGTGCTTAGACTGGTTGGTTATTGAGCAACATCTATGGGTTCTTCTTCTTTTGAGGGTAACCCGTTTTTCTCTCTCTTTATTTTTTGTGGGTTTTCGTTTTGGTTAGTTGAAATACTTTCTTTTCTGGTTGATAGTTATTGTAGAATGTATGTACTTTTAGAGAAAATCTTAGCTTGTGATTACATATTTGTCTTGTTTTGGTTCCATTGATTTGCAAAAAGCTTTGAATCTTTTGAAGGTTTTTCGTTGATGATGGGTCACAATTTTTTTTTTTTTTTGATCAGCTTATAAGTTACTCCATTTGTTCCTAAATATCTATCGTTTAAGTTTTTTACACAAAGATTAAAGAAACTATTAAATAACTCTAATATGAGTAAAAAATAATTACACAAGACTAAAATACCCTTATTCAATACGTATTGGAAAGAAAAAGAATATAAATGACACTTAGCCTCCCCAAATCTAATGCATTGAAAAGTTAAGGGTAAATTTGGAAGAAAAAAAATTAATTATGCTTTGGTTTCATGAAACGACAGATATTATGGAAAAAATAAAATTATGTAAAATGACAGATATTTAGGAACAGAGGGAGCATATATATTTCGTGTGTTTTATTATCTGTGATTTTCCGGATTTGGATGTTGATTAGATTTTCTGGGTTTCTTTTGTATCAAATTTAGTACTAATGACTCTCTCTCTCTCTCTCTAGATGCTGTTGTTTTATTAATTGATGTTTAATGTTGGTAATTGAGGTTGCCTATACTTTGATGTTCTTTAGCATTCTATAATTAATTTAAAGTATGCCAATAAAATGGCCGCAATGTCCCTTTCTCTACTTATTAGTCTGTCTCTGTACAATGTGAAAAAGGGTACTAGCAAGAGACTTAGTGGAAGGAGTATGCTTATGTAATTTGATGGATTAGTGTTTCACGGAAAATAGTCAGTATGGCTCCCCTTAGGAAATGCAGCACCCAAGGGCATTGGAAAGTCAAACTTGAAGTTAGCTTCACTTCCATATGTTTTTAATCGAATTCAAAAAAAGTAATAAGCTTTGTCCTTTACCCAATTTGATCAGACCTCTGTTTAATATCCTGATTCTATTCAATGTGGTTGGGGTGTCTGTATTAGTTCGAGTCAACCATTTTTTCCTAGCTTTCGAGGTAACATTCTTTTCATTTCTTCGTTATTTTAAAAAGCATGCAATTGAAAGATTATGCAGACTAAAATTAATAAATGCGTTTCATACAACTGATCTGTAATGAAGAATTATTTCTTTTTTATGGATGGTCTATAGTTGATCAATGGGCAAATATTGCTTGTATTATAACTATTTTTTTTCCGGTTTTTGTGATTTGTTGGCAGATATTTCCGTTAGTGAGAGTTCATATGTAGTTTAACGAATCTTTATGCTTCAAGAGTTTTCTATGAAAAATATTGTCTAATTATTATGTTGTATACTTTCTCTCTTCTCTAAGGTGTTACTAGGCCATCTCCACTCCTTACTAAAAACTAAATTCAAATTTAAATTTGGATAAAAAAAGTCAAAAAACTCTCTTCAACCTCTGACTTAAACTTATATCAGAACAAGGGAAACTCTTTTCTTGACCCATATTAAGGGAACATCAAACTTTTATTCAAAATCTTTTGAGCCAAAAATAGATGTCCATCATTTGTGGCCTTTTGTCGGATTTCTTGGAATAGTCGGTCATGGAACTAAAAGAAAAAAGGCCATGCCCAAGCCCCTTGAGAGTCACATGCGAGATCCTGTGGGTTTTTTTGTTGAACAGGAAATCATGTGGGTTGGAAGGGGAGAAAAAATGAGAGGGAAAGAGGTTTTGGAGAGAAAGAGATAGAGAATGGAGGGAAAGAGAAGAAGGAAAAATGTTTGGAGAATTTTTTTTTTAAGAAATGATCTCTTGGGACAATATGAAATTTTTTTAAAAGGATTTGATTATAAATTTGGTTTTGTCAATTGGAAAGGTCCATACCAAATCAAGCTTTTTAATCAAATTTGAGTTTGAGTTTGAGTCAATATTGGATATGCTCTTACTACTTGCTCTGTTTTTTGATTTTTCTTATTGTATCATGGCTAGCTATTTGAGAAAATTGCTGGAATATTTATCAGAACTACTATGAAATTTTGTAAAGTTTTTCAACCCTTTTTTGGCTCCAGGATTTGTGTTTGATCCATCGAAATGCAATAAATTGAATATGGAGGAAAAGAGAGAACTAGTTTATGAATTATCAAAGTGGTCTCATGGTGCTCCAGAAATGCTGCAGTCATGGAGCCGTCAGGATATCTTGCAGATCCTGTGTGCAGAGATGGGAAAAGAAAGGAAATACACTGGTTTGACGAAGTTGAAAATTATAGAAAACCTTTTGAAAGTTGTATCTGAAAAGAAATCACAGCAGCATGGAATTTTAACTGACCTTGAACCACAGCCTTCTGCAGAAATTGGGCAAAGGACTTCCAAAAGGCAGAGAAAAACTGATCACCCTAATCGACAACCTGTTGCAATAAATAATGCGTTAGTTAACAATGTTAGTGGTGATATAGGTAACGTAATATACTGCAACAATTCAGCTTGCAGAGCTAAATTAAGTCGAGAAGATGCATTTTGCAAAAGGTGCTCATGTTGCATTTGCAATCAATATGATGACAACAAGGACCCTAGCTTGTGGTTAATTTGCAGCTCAGAGCATCCCTTTCAAGGAGATTCATGTGGCATGTCCTGTCACCTTGATTGTGCTTTCAGACATGAAAGATCAGGCATCACAAAGGATAGGCAGAATAAAGGACTTGATGGAAGTTTTTACTGTGTATCTTGTGGGAAAGTGAATGACTTGCTCGGGTAAATGTCCACTCCTATTTCCTCTTCCTTTTGTTATCCTTTCGTAGTTTATGTGATGACTTGTGCTGCTAAATGAAGTTGTTCTTTTATATTTTAAGGGCCTCTCCTGCAGTGCTTGATCCTCAATTCGTTTTGATTTTGAGATCAGCAGCCTCCCTAATATTTATTGAAAGCAACTTTTATTACCAATTGCATCATCGAATCAAAGAAAACACTAGACTCAAAATATTATTTAGGGAGTTTTCACCTTGCTAATGTGTTTTGTGGGCATTTGAATATTAACTCTATCTTTACATTATTAGAGTTGATAAGGTAATGAATGGTGAAAACATGTTGGGATTGGAACTGACATTTGTGTCATGAAGTTATAGCTGTTGTACTGATATTATGTATTTGCATAAAGTAATCAGTATGAAAGCGAAAGGATATATAAGAATGATAAAGGAAAGCAAAGTTTGCAGGACTGGAATTTTGCTGTAAATGCATAGATAGCTTGGTTTGCTTTCCAAAGTGAGTTACAAAACCTGAAGACTACAGTGGATACCTAACAATTAGGAGGACAACTACTGTATTATTTTTGTGCATGAACTTAAAGGGTAAAGTTTCTGTTATTATGTTGTCAAGTTCATCACTAGATGCTGATTGCATAATGGACTGTAAATTGTTTATTGTGAACACTGTGCACATGCATGATAGGCTAAAAGGATGCTGTGCAATAAAGTCTATCTTTTTTACAATATGTGAGAAGCTTATGTTTTTTGGTCAAATTTGAGTCTATTATTTACTTTTTGTTTGTCTTTTTGGTTTCAAACATATTGACATTTGCTAGTTAGTTTTATATGGGCCCTCTAATTCAATTACCTTCACATTTATTTGTTTTTTCATGAATGAAATGTTTTATACTAAGGAGTTCTATTTGTGAGATTCTGCTTAGTTTCCAAAATGTGCCCAAAATTAAGATTTTTGAGGTGTCGAACATGTATCCAAGAATCCAAGAAACTTCAATTTCAGACATGTTTCCGACACTACAACTACATTGAAATCTACTGTTCTGTTATATTGTGAGCTGATGTGTATTATGTATGCCAACTAGCATGGAGTTTCTCCCCACCCAAAAACAGAGATGTTAACTTTGTATTACTTCTTGGTTATGATTGTATGGATGCTTTGTGAACTTTATTTTTCCATCACAGAATGACCAATGCCAATTGACACTTTGGTATTTTTTGAATACCTTTTATTTGTTTTACCTGTTCAGTCTTAATTTGCACCAATGATCACAAACACATTTGAGCCCAATTCGTCACTTTCCAGATATTGATGCTCTTGTTGTTTGGATTTTGCTGCCATATCTCCCATGTTATTACATATGTACGTCTTCATTGTTGAGTTTTTTGGCTAAGTCCTATCAAGTCACTCTGTCTCTGTCTGTTGTGCACTTTTGTTCGAGTCTGCCTTGTTTAGAGTGTGCTTTTCTAAGGAAAGAAAGGTTAGTTGTTCAGAAAACCATAAGTTTACCATCATCAATGACCACCTAACCCCAATTGTTCATTTGCTTATCTTTTGGCATTTGTAGGTTATTTTGAATGTCATTTGATAGTGTTGATATAATCATAATCCATTTTGTGTGTAATGATACCATTGAAGTGAAATGTGTGTGACAACTAGTTAGGAACAGGCCTGTGTGCATGGTTTCAAGTCGCAGTATCAGTCATCAGTCATCGACGTTGAGGGCATTAAGAGACTTCAATCATTGCATCAGGAAACGGTATCGGACAACAGGCACAAAATGTTATATATAGGAAAAATTGGATGTTACGTGAGATTCAGACATTTTGGGGCGTTGTGTAATGGTATCGGGTAGTGTGCTATTTGATAATGACTTCGACGACTCGGGCAACGTGTTCAAGATGTTTTTGAGTAAACCATGATTCAGGAGAGGTTCGAGGTTTATTGGAATCTTTTAGCTATCGGAACGAAGATTTCATTCCGGATATGACGTGGCCAATACGACTCATAAGTTGAACCATGCTTCAGTGTATGATTTTAGAACAGACTGCATCATGGTCTTCTTTCCCTGCAATGTCTCTATGGCTACCACAAAGAAGCTCAAATATCTCATCAGGACTGATTCCTTTAATTTATGCAGATGTTGGAGAAAACAACTCCTAGTGGCTAGGGATACCAGGCGGGTGGATATATTGTGCTATCGTGTCTCCTTGAGCCAGAAGATTCTTAGTAGTACCAAAAGTTACCAAAAACTATATGGATTTGTGGTAGAAGCAGCGAAGAAGCTTGAAGCAGACGTGGGCCCTTTAACTGGTCTACCCTTGAAAATAGCAAGGGGTATTGTCAACAGGCTCTCCTCAGGCCCAGAGGTTCAGAGACTGTGTGCTTTTGCGGTGGATTCCCTAGACTTAATGCTTTCGAAGAGGGTCTTGAATACATCATCTGATACCATGATCCAAGGTTGTTTTTATTTTATGGCACTGGAAAAAAATGAGCCACATTTACGGATTTTCTATGAGTCTGTGATGTAATGGTGGCAATCTATAACAAGAAGGCTGAAAAACTTGTATTAGCCATTGTTTTGAGTCTTTACCTCGATATTTTTCACATCAAAACAAGGCCTTGCAGGTTTTCTAGTCTCCTTGTTATAAGTGTTGCCCTCAAACCATGAGATTTGGCATGCTGCTCCTGGAAAATCCATGACACTTTCTGCTATGAAAGCGCTCTCCTTCCCCCTTTTTCTTTACACACACACACACATATATATGTTATGTATGTTTGCATGTGCCTATGTATTCCTCTCTTTGGTCTCGTGTACATTTGTATCGGCTAGAGGCAATTGGTAACCTTCCGCTAGCACATATGATGTTTATGTTTGCAGATTCTAAAACGATGGCTTCAAACATTATCAGATTTGAACATGCAAGTGCCTCATCTCTTACACTGATTTTGGGGTCGGAAGATCCATCCCCAGAAAGTGTCATGGGCTATACCTTATGGCATCGCAAAGCTGATGATATGAACTATCCAGAAGAACCAACTTGTACATTGTTAGCACCAAATACAGGGTTTCTGCTCTCAGGTCTAACTCCGGCTACGAATTATCTTTTCAAGGTGGTTTGCTTTGATGGTCAAGGAGAGTTGGGTACTTGTGAAGTTCAGTATCGAACAGGTAGTTCTGGAGACGAAGCCCTACATCCGAACCCAAAGCGTTTGGTAGAGAGAAGTCAAAGTCCGACTACCAATTGTAGCAGTTTGTCTAATCCTTCTTCATTGGAAGAAAAACTAACATTGGCAAGCCCTACAGTAATGAGAATGGTAAGAGAGATAACAGTTACCCTTCTTACTGCAACAATGCCGACCAAAATGTTTCTTCCTATTTGTCTGATGATGCCACCAAAAGAACTAGTAGAGTTCATGGAGGAACCCGGGGAGATTCAGTGTCTGTGTTGGATGAGGAACATAGCATGGGACAAATAAACACCATGCCAATTTCTGATGCCATTGATCTTCAGAAAAAACCCTATTCAAATGGCCAAACAATCGAGGCGACAAGCGCTGATAATGGGCCAAATACTCCTGTTAAGACTTGCATGGAATGTGTGCCTTTTGCAGGTAGTTCAGAAGCTGGCTTGCCTATTACTCCCTGCAAATTGGAGAATATCAAGGATGGGCTAGTAAGGAATAGTAGACCCAATCTTAGCAACAAGGATCTAGACGACGGGTGTGGGAAGGAAGAGGAACCCCAAGCTGGCAGCAAGTCAAAGAAGAGAAGTGGGGAAAGGCGAGATGAGGTATGTGCTGGAATTGGTGACAAGGATTTTGAGTACTATGTAAAGGTGATCAGATGGTTGGAGTGCGAGGGGCATATCGAGACAACGTTTAGGCAGAAATTCCTGACCTGGTATAGCTTGAGAGCAACCTCACAAGAGGTGAGGGTTGTGAAAGTCTTCGTTGACACTCTCAATGAAGATCCAGCATCTCTTGCAGCGCAGCTTGTTGACACGTTTTCAGAAGTTATTTCAAGCAAGAGATCCCCTGCCGTGCCAGCAGGGTTTTGCCTGAAGCTTTGGCATTGATGGATTCACACATGGGTCCTGGTTCCATGGAATGAATTTTAACATTCTTGTTTTAGACTATCCATCATTCATATTTAATCATTGGGATTTGCTCATTGTCTTCTCAACCGGAAAGCATTAAAGTTCATTTTGTTTTATACATCAGTTCCCGCCTCATTCACAGATATGCTATATTTGGCTAGTCATTCATCATAAAAATTCTTATCATACTAACATTCTGAGTTTATGTATTATTCCACAACAAGAAGAAAACAGAATCTATATTTAGCAGCCTTAATCTTCTCTGCATGTTACATTGATCAATGCTTATGTTTTATATCTATCCATTACAATGCAGGACAATACTTGTTGTGTCGTGGTCAGTTATATTCATAAGATTTCCCAAACAACCTTTCGACCCAAACCATCACATGGGAAGCTATGAGATAATGCTATAAAAAAACACGACGACATACTACTTGAAAAAATTGAGCTGCCACTATCCCACAGTGTTGGAACTGGATGGTCAGAAGTTCTCGTTGCTGATGGTAGAGGATCTGAGATTTCATTGCCTCCGCTGACCGATCCATTTCGTTCAAAAAAAGATTCCAAATACTGAAATTTTGGATATGGAGGTGGAGTGATTTCCATTCCTCCTTCCAACATCGTCACCACAGTGCTCATCGTTGGTCTTAATTCTGGCTCGTACTGAACACACCAAAGAGCCACCATTGACATTCTCTCTGCTTGCTCTCTGTCTCTCTCCTCAATACCAGAGAGCTTCAGCATCTCTGCTAATTCATTATTCTCAATCATTTCCCATGTCCATCGGGGAGGCCATTTTCGAGTATCGCTTAAGTTAGCTAAGTAGTTTCTCCTTCTCCCCACAATCTCAAATAAGAGCATACCATAGCTATATACATCACACTTGTGAGTGACAGGATATGGTTTCCACAGCTCAGGAGCGGCATATCCTCGTGTTCCTCTTAGGCCGGTCATCATTACATGACTGCTTTCTCTACTACAAAGCTTCGCCAATCCGAAATCTGCAACTTTAGCATTGAAGTTTCGATCAAGAAGAACATTTTCAGGCTTTATATCGTAATGAATAATTCTCTGTTCGCAATCCTCATGTAAGTATGCTATTCCTTTAGCTGTTCCTACTGCAATATTATGCAACTTCCCCCACTCAATTTCCGAGTCACTGAACAAATATCTGTCGAGTGAACCCTTTTCCATGAACTCGTAAACTAGGGCTCTGATTGTTGGATCAAAGCAGAATCCATAAAGTCTAACCAGATTCATATGATAAGTTCTTCCAATGGTACTTACTTCGGCCATGAACTGTTCTTCAATTCTGCTATCCGGGTTGTTATTAAGCTTTTTGACAGCAAATTGCACTCCATCTGGGAACTCTCCTTTAAACACTTCTCCAAAAGCACCAGAACCCAATTCAGTGGTGAAGTTTTGAGTGAATTCTTCAAGTTGCCGACGTGAAAACCTTTTGGGTTTTCCTTTGGCAATTGTGCTGCGAAATATCTCCATGGTAGTTCCATGGACCCGAGGGCCCTGAGCTCTTTGGTCATCAGGTGGTATAGCCACCACAAAGCTTTCGCTCCTAGGAGGAATTGCAATATCTCCCAGAAGCGATTCCTGATCCGTGGTATTGATCGGGGCATATGCATGAAAGGCTATTCCTGCTTTCTTCAAGCATCCAATTACTTCAAGCACTACAGCAATTATTATTTTTGCAATTATTGCACCTAACAATGCTGTAATATAAGTGGAATATTAAGATCAGCATAGCAAAAAACTGGGGCATATAAAAGAACATATCAAGGAAATCATTTGGTTTTAAGAGCTTACCATTAAAACCTATCATGAACCATTTCCCCGCTAAATCCAAAATATCTTCGTCTGAAAAAGTCATTCTTACAAGTAGCTGGGAAGAAAGAAGATGGTGAGGATGAAGAAGTGTTCTGAGGATTTTGATCGGTTTAGGAATATGTTTTCTTTTCCCGGTTTGACTATATTTTTACTTGCCTGACAACGCGTTTTCATGTATATATATCTACTAATATTTGTTCGTGTCCGAAAATACTATGTAAATAAAAAAAATTGCAAACAATTACCTATGCGCACGAAGGCACCGGATAACACAAACAAAAATTCAAAAGATAAAAAATTTCTTTGATCTAAATAATATAGATATTATAATATGTTTCAAATACAAACTTGTTGCACAATCAAAAGAAACCAAAATTCAACTCACTGGCCAAGCACAACATTTGGAATTTTACCTTGTAGAAAAAAAAAAAATTTTGAGTTTTATCCTGCCCCTTTTGAGTTCTTTATATGAGAAAACCAAATTAATCTACCCATTGATTTAATTGATCCTACCTTAACTTTTAGGTGCCAAAAATGGTGAGACTTTAAAATAGGATAAATTTTGAAAATATAATACACAAATCTCCTTTGCCAAAAAATTAGGTAAGATTGTGAGAAGCAAATAATCACTATTCAATACCAGACCAATCTTCCAAACCCAACAAAACGACATAAGAATTTTAAATAATAGCTACAAATATGCCTCCCTCTTGTACCATTCATCACCATTCGTCTTTCCTCTTCTCATTATTGATATAAAACAAAACAAAATAAATATTCATATTGCTTCATTTTTTTAATTTTTTTTTTTTTAACGAATTGTACAATCAAAAAATCTTTTAGTTTGCTTTTCAAGTCAAAGACACAAGTTATTTCTGAAGTGACAGTCAACCAAACGGTGCAAGAGACTATAAACAAAAGTTCAATAGCAATCATAGTAGTTACATAAGTACCCCAAGTATAATCAAAATTTTTTGAAATTAGTATTTAAAACTCTTTATCGAATCACACAAAACTAGATATATAAATTAATGAAGCGTATATAGACTATAGAGTATAGATAAATAAATTTGTTACAAAAATGAAAATTTCAAGATCAAATAGTCAAAATTTTGCAAGTATACATGAACTTTTTAATTTTTTTTTTCATGAAAGCTTTTCTCAAAACACATTGACTAAATGAGTAATCCAACAAAACAAATAAGTCGTTTGATAACGTTTTTGTTGCATCTTCAAAAAAATAAAAACAGAGACAATTTTTTTCTGTTTTGTGATAAACACTGAAATAGAAAACATATATGTGAGTTAATTTTGTTTATCAAATTATAAGAATAAAAACAAAAAACATGTTTGATAACTATTTCACGCTTTATCTTAAATATACTTTATAATATCTCATACAAGTAAACACATACAAGTAAACAAATCCAAGTAATCCTCTCCTCTTAAGGCATCTCTCTCTCTCTCTCTCTCTCTCTCTCTCAATAATGGGTCATGATGGACAAAGAAATGGCGAAGGGAATAGGGCACTGTTTGTTATTTTTAAGGAATCATTATGGTATTTTGTCATTACAATTACAATTTTTTATGCCAATTTTATTTTCGAATCAAGTCAACAGACTATACCTACAAAGCAAAGCTGAATCTTATCAGTAGGCACCAAGACAGTACACACACGCACACACAGAACTAGTATCTTTAACTGAAACTATAGAGGAAAGGTAAATCTTATCAGGAGGCACTAGGCACCAAGACAATACACACACACACACACACATAATTATCTTATTCATTTATCTAATTACCCCAAAAAAGGTAATTTCATATTTACAGATCATATTTCTTGTGTTTTTTTTTCATTCAGTAATGCTCTTCTTATCAGCTCTTTTCACCAGCTCTTTTCACCAATTGATGGGATAAAGGGCCCCGATTTTTTTCTCTTCTTTTCGGAGATGTTAATTGATATAAAAACACCCAAATAAAAAAAACAGAGCGCTAATTATCCCAATAAAATTTTATTTATCAAAATCGTCTCCCAATACAAATAAATCTCTCAATATGATTAAAACATCAATTACATCGACATCTCATCGTCTTTAATACTCTGATTATCTTGTTTCGATTTTTTCTCTAAAATCAACTTGAAAATATTAAATAAGGCAGAGAAGTATACAATATGATGAGGAAAAATATACTTAAGGACGTTAAATACCAAAGAATCAAGTATCACAAAGTATCTTAATCAACAGATACAAATATCATATTTGCATATTACACGTCATGCAGAATCTTAGCACAGATCTGACACCTTACCAATCATCCCACCTCAACCCGATCTCACGAGTCTGGCAATGCATCGGCTATTGACTGTCATTATTTCGTCTCAATATCTACAGAACACGATCAATTTGATCAAAATATTTAACGATATTCAATCGAAATTCTAAAATTACGATAGCATAAATTGGAATACAAATCAGAAAATAATCAAATAAATACTTTTTGCAAAGAGATTTAATGAGAGCATATTGCATACCACCCCGTACTTCATAATCATTGTTTGAATTCGATAACTCTAATTTTCGTTTCATTCTTCTTCTTCCTCTTGATTTGAACCAAAAACACCCACCAAAATTTATTTTCTCTTTCCCTCTCTTCCTCCTTGTTCTCGGCTCAAACGGACACCCACACTTATATTTTTGTTTCTTTCTCTTTTACTTTCCCTCACTCTCGGTTTCCAACAAGCAAGAACACACACACACATCTATACCATTAATTACGCACACCCACATTTTCTACAATGTATTCAATGCTAACTAAATTTCCTTTATTTTTATTCTTTCTCTCTTTCTTTCTTTTTTCTTTTCCTTGACCTGTAAAGACCAAAAAATCATAAAGTTAAAATATTTATACTTTGCTCCCTTTTATTTCACTAATTAAATATATGAACCACAAAACTTAAATATTCCTTATACTTTCACATCAAAACTCATAATATTTTATATGTAAACTACTTCTAAAAAGTTGGGATCCATATTCTACCCTCCTTAAAAGAATTTCATCCCCGAAATTCCTTAGTTCACCAAGAATCCCAACATTTGTTGGGGTGCAAAATGCAACACGAGAAAGAAAAGAATGTAAAGTGTTTATTGTTCAAAAGAAAGAGGTGTTATTGATTTTTTTTTTTAATAAATGTGTAATTACACTAACTTTCTTTCAATTCACTAAACCGAAAGTCCGTTATACTACCACATCAATTCCACATTCCAAGTGTTTAGAACTTGCACCACCAAATAAAATACAAGAAAAACACAATGAACTCAGTTCCCACAAATCTCATATAAGATCTGAAGCCTAGGCTCTGATACCATTTGTAATGCCCTGATTTTTTTTTCTTCTTTTCGGAGATGTTAATTGATATAAAAACACCCAAATAAAAATAAATAGAGCACTAATTATCCCAATAAAATTTTATTTATCAAAATCATTTCCCAATACAAATAAATCTCTCAATATGATTAAAACATCAATTACATCAACATCTCCTCGTCATTAATACTCTGATTATCTTGTTCTGATCTTTTCTCTAAAATTAACTTGAAAATATTAAATAAGGCGGGGAAGTATACAATATGATGAGGAAAATATGCTCAAGGATATTAAATACCAAATAATCAAGTATCACAAATTATCTCAATCAACAAATACAAATGTCATATTTGCATATCACACGTCATGCAGAATCTTAACACATATCTGACATCTCATCAATCGTCTCACCCCAACCCAATCTCACGGGTCTCTTGGCTGGCAATGCATCGACTATTGGCTGCCATGATCCCGTCTCAATATCCGTAGAACACGATCAATGAGATCAAAATATTTAACGGTATTCAATCGAAATTCTAAAATAACGATAGCACAAGTTGAAATACAAATTAGAGGATAATCAAAGAAATACTCTTTGCAAAGAGATTTAAGGAGAGCATATTGCATACCACCCCGTACCTCAGAATCATTATTTGAATTCGATAACTCTGATTTCTATTTTATTCTTCTTCTTCCTCTCGGTTTGAACTAAAAACATCCACCAAGATTTGTTTTCTCTTTCCCTCTCTTCCTCCTTGTTCTCGGCTCAAATGGACACCCACACCTATATTTTTGTTTCTTTCTCTTTTACTCTCCCTTATTCTCGGTTTCCAACAAGCAAGAACACACACACACATTTCTACACCATTAATTACACACACCCACATTTTCTACAATGTATTCAATGCTACCTGAATTTCCTTTATTTTTATTCTTTCTCTCTCTTTTTTTTTCTTTACCTTGTCTAGTCTCTTTTCTTTTTTTTCAAAGTCTTCACGTGGGTGAAGACCAAAGCATCATAAAGTTAAAATATTTATACTTTGTTCCCCTTTATTTCACTTATTATATATATCAACCATAATACTTAAATATTCCTTATACTTTCACATCAAAACTCATAATATTTTATACTTAAACTACTTCTAAAAAGTTGGGATCTCACACCACCACAACCATCAACTGATTAGTGGCAACGGTTCACATGGAATTCATGTAGAAAAGTTTGTAAGTGAAGTAGCATATTATTTTTTCATTTTTCAAGTTACAAAATATCAGGGAATCCAATCCCATACACAACCTCAAATTATATACAACCACCTACATAAATCACATAGAACCAAATTAATCAAAGCACAAAATTGTGGTCTGCCATCAAAACAAACATCAATGTGCTCTGTAAAACCCTAATGAAAAACTGGAGAGATTGAGGGAGAGAGAGAAGGCTGTGATCAATCAATAATGAAAAACTCAAAAGATGTTCATTGATAAACAAATATACAGATCAATAATGAAATCAATCAAGAGCTGTTTTGGTAAATCAATAATGAAATTTACATACAAATATACAGATCTATGTATATTGTGGTGAAAATAATACAAATAAAACAAAAAAAATACGATTAGGGTTTGTGATGTATAGATCTATGCATATATATACAAATCTATGTATATAAA